AACAGATAAGAATTTTTCAAGAAAACGCTCTCATGATCGAAACATTTCCATTGTTTTCCGTGGTAAAATGATATTAATTCAATCATAAAGAAATTTATGAAAGCACATGACTCAGTCTTACAAAACAACAATGAATACGAGCACGAGACAAAGCAAATTGAAGATGTTGCTAACGATGAAACTATTGTTCCTGAAAGATTCGACGGGTATCAAGGAGAATTGCTGTACAATTCGTTACATGGCTGCGGCAGATTCAAATGAATGATGGTAATTTTTTTGTAAACGACTTGGAGGGATATGGGCACGTTGTATATTCATCTGGTGGAATCTTTGAAGGATTGTTTAAACGAAGCCGTCGCTTTGGACCGGGAGTTTTTACATATCCCTACGGATTTCAAGACGTGGGGTTGTGGGATGGTAATTATCTGGTAAGACTCAGTTGTCCCGTGAATTTTAAAGTAATTCCACGACTAGCTTTCTCACAAAACGCAAAATATCGATTACTGAAATTCAGAAAACTAGTAACAATCTATCCTGAACTCTCTGACAAGGCTGGAGATATTTTAACAACTTTAGGTTGCACTAGTGATCTGGCTTGTACCATTGGTACAGATCGGTTGTACAATAACTTGGTCAGGAACAGAGACAGCACATTTTTGGACAAAAATCTATTCAATAAAGTTTTCTTTGGGTGCAAGAGTAAGGTTGAGATGTTGGTGTCAACCGAAGAAGAAAAAGAAAAAAAGTTTCGTTGATGATCCGGTACAAGTCTAAAATTAATTTAAGCTCATAATCTTTCTTATAAGATGAGAGAAACTTGTGGCCAATAACTTCAGATTTATAGCTGATAAATTTTTCAGGTCTACCTTTTCCCTTTTTGTAATGTTTAGACTTGAAGTGATTGATAGAATATGTGTATTTTAGTCTTGTTGGACAAGTAAACTTACTGCCTCAATTAGCTCTCTCTTATTTCTATCTTCATTTTGTTCTAGTGATTCAATGACACAACATTCTTCTAGCTAGGAGTTAGGCTATGAAGAATCGTCCTTGACAACAGTTTATCGTTATTAATAGCTACTTCCATGCCCATTAATCTATCAATGACAATTTATTATTTAATATATAATTTTATAAGACCACCACGACTTTCTTCAATTTTGGTAACGTGTCTATCACATATTAGCTCATCATACGTGATTGGCCTTGGATTCAGTTCAGCAAGTAGATATCTATTCTATATAAATGGATCTTGTTGAACATATTGAATTTCACTAAATGTAGCATTGTATTATAGATGGCGCTTAATACCGCACAGTTTGTAAGATTTCATAAACAATATTCTCAAATGGATCGTTTTGCCCTGTGCTACTTTTTATTCTTTAATATAATCTAAGTAGGTATCGAAAAACAGGTTGTATGGTGTTGTAGGACATTCGGTAGGAACAAAGTTTTTTACCCAATTCGATAAATATTAATTAGGATTCCCGGTTAGCTCCTATTGGAGATATTCAACACATGGTAGAGTAATCAAGTGTACCTCTTCAGTTCTCTTTCTCTGTTTCTCTGCAAGTGGTGAGTAAGGTATTTGGACCGAGTGATATGGTGAGGCAGATTGTTAAAGAACATGAAAAATGTTATAATTTTGTTCTTGAACTATTTCAAAATTTGTAATACCAAATTAGATTAATATTAACTGTAGATTTGCAAATGTGTTTTATTCAATATTTTGTTTAGTGTATTACATGGTCGAAAACAATACCTTTCAAAAGAATGGTAGATCTCCATATTACAAATTAGCGTTAATCCAGTTGACATAGGAAGGAACTTTTGTGGAAACTGATGGAGCAATGGAGACGCCACATGGTGAAAGACCCCACGACAGAACACCCACTTGGACGCCGTTCTGAACCAATGGGCCACCAACATCACCGGTACAAATGGCCACATTTTGCTCTCCGTCAGTACAAATTTGGGAATCGTCCAAAGGTTCTGAACTTCCAACTAAACTAACCAAAACGTCAGCGCACTCTACAAAGAAAGATATTTTCATTAAGAACGTGGAAAATTTAGAATTAGATATTGCAATTACGATCATTTGATATAATGTCTACGTCGGCGTATTGCAGGATGCTTGGGTAATCGTAATCTGAATCTGACGTATATCCCCATCCTGAATAGACGGCGGATCCAGAAACATCGGCACCTTGACTAGGAAGTACAACAGGTTGGACGGATGAGCTCAAGTCAAAGGGTGGATTTACTTTTATTAGAGCAATATCAAATGGGGAATCGCTCGTTTCACTTACACTGAAAAGCAAAGAAAATGATATTATGAAGAACGTAATCGATAAAGGTGGAATTCAATTATTTACACAGGCCAGTTTTCGTGAACGATAAAGCTGCTAGCAAGTCGGCGTTGGCTGGAAGAGGAACTTTCGTTTAGACTTAAAGCTCCAGCAAGGATCGAAATGTTTCTAGTATTATCTACGAAATCTGCGGCACAACTGGCAGCCGTGAGAACCACCGATGCACTAATGAGACTACCACCGCAGAAGTGGATGGAAAAATCATCTTCAGCCCACTGTAGAGAAACCTGGTAGGGAAATTGGTTTCTGGCAGCACGTTGACCACGCGTTACCCTGGTCTCCTCGGATGGCAAAATTTCTGTATCCTTAATCTTACGGAAAGAATGCACCTTTGGCGCGTTTGGTGCCGCTATTCAAATATTAAATAAAACGTATCGATATAGAACCAAGATATAAATTAATAAGTGAATCGTTAAATTAAATCCAATCAAACTTACCAAGTGCTGCGGTACACACAAAACCTAAGAGAATAACGAGGAACTTCATTCTAAAATTGCCAGATTCATAATCAAACCAATGTGAAACCTAAACCATTCGGCTTTTATTTATAGGCAGGAAACTTATCTCCAAGCCCCGGACAAATTAAGTTCACACTTATCTAAAACATGCTAATATTTCATTGTTTGTGGCGATTAAAGTGCAAAAACCCCATTTTTCATATCTACATACTTGAAAATTCATCTTAAATTAATACTGTGGCGGAAAATTGTATATTCTTTTGTAGATATTATTTCTTAATTTAATTCTTTTCAATTTCTTATCGTGTACAAACTAAACTCTATTGTTCTCTAAATCACTTTTACCTGGAAATCCACTTCAACCATACCTGCATGCACTCCAATACTAATATCTGGTTTTACCCTTAATTGCTTTCTCTTGAATTCTATACTGTTTGATTCTAAGTGTTTCTATAAACCAGTGTCTTCACCCTCTCTCTCACTACTTTTCCTTCTAGAACATTCTATCAAATTTCACCAACTTCTTCGCGTATCTGAACACATTTCCGACAACCTTAACAAGCGGCGTCACACCTCCATGCTTTTTCTTGACGTCCAACAAGCGTTCGACCGAGTCTGGCACAAAGGCCTTATCTCAAAACTCATCGCCCTTAACATTCGACACTTTCTAGTTGGGGTCATCAGGTCCTTTCTCACAGACAGAAGTCTTCGGGTCCGCGTCGGCTCTGTTCTCCCTACCAGTTAATCCGTCACAGCCGGTGTCTCACAAGGCTCCAAACTATCACCTATTCTATTTATCCTGTTCTGAGTGGACATTCCAATGCATAGGGAGAATTAATAAGTTTCTGCCCCTGCTCCTAAAGTGATACTGAAAATGAAAACTTTCCATTAACGAGACCAAATCGGAAGCAATTTTCTGCTCTCGTAGGTCCCGAAAACCTCCCTCCATTTTAGTAAACAACCGTCCCATCAAGTGGAGCAGCTCTGTCACCTGCCTAGGCGTCGTTTCCGACAGGACCCTAAACTGGCGGCTCCACATCGCTACTACCCGTAACAAGGTAATGGGTGCGTTCATCGCACTCAAGCCTTTATTGCGAAACGACTTCATCCCCCAACATACGAAAATCCGTGCGTTTAACGGAATAATCAGGAGCATTTGCTCCTACGCCATTCCCGTCTGGGGCTGCGCCCTTCCTCACCGCCTGAAACCCCTTCAAGACACCTACATGCGGATCCTTTGTTCCGCACTAAACTATTCCTGGGTTGTCAGAAACACCGAAATTCTGAAAGAAACCGGTTTACCTTCTTTCCCTGAGGCTGCAGTCCCATTCGCAGCAAATCTCTGGGACTCAGTGCCAGGGCTTGCAAACTCCACCAGTTCGACACTCTCCAACTTCGCCCCGAAGCCAAACGACCGTTTCCGAACACCCTGTCACCTTCTACAATGAGCCACTCCCTTCCGCTTCCCTTTTTGGCGCAAGTGTCCGTCCATCACTTCCGAGGAGGACCACCTATTCCGACGATTCTCGCCCCGCCGCCCCCAATCCCCCTGCTTACCCATTTTCTCTTCTCAACCCTCTCCTAAATCCCAACTTTCCATTCTCCACCCAGGGATGAGTAACTCTCAGGGCTTTATCTTCCCATTCGAGGAGGGGCTTTAGTTGGTAAAAATCCGACACTACCTCCCTTCAGGGGGTGTCTTTTGAAGATTTTCCCTCCTCGAGAATAATCTAAAAAAAACATCTTCACACAGTCTCTTGTCTAGGTACAGCCTCTACTACCACTTGTAAGTGTTTCTGCTCATCTACTCTGTTTTCATTTTTGTTGTTGTATATCATGTTCTGTTTGTATAAAAATTGTTGTTTGTTATTGTTAGTGTCTTCTTAGTATTTTAAATAATATTAACATCAAAAGACACCAAATACAATATCGATGTAGGTACAATGAACAAATAAATAAAAAAATTGATAATTAAATTAATACTTATATAACTTACCATAGCCTAAGGCGCACAGGAGATCTATAAAGAACCATCTACATACTTGTAAAATTCTTTTTAAATTAATAAAATATCGATGTAGGTACAATGAACAAATAAATAAAAAGACTGATAATTAAATTAATACTTATATAACTTACCATAGCCTAAGGCGCACAGGAGATCTATAAAGAACCATGAAACTTCATTCTTATTTGACAGTTTAATTAGCTAATCCACTGTACAACCCGAAACTACTTCTATTAGCATGAAGGAAACTTATCTCCGATTGTATCGTTTGTAGTCCAAAAGAGTATTTTTGGTATTTAGTGTCAAAATTTAAACGAAATACTGCAAGATGTAGTTTCCCTAAATAAATTCTTAATTTTTGTAGGTCTACTTTCGTAACATCATTCAAAATTGCTTCTTAACACCGTCAAGTATTGCTTCCTAAATCTGCCCAATCAATCCTGCCTAAATTTGCTTCTCACAATCAATATGGGTGTACCATCTCAATGCTGCTCAAAAATGTTTTTCAATAGCGCTTCCTCTACCTTCTTAATGCCGTTCGTCAAAACTCCTATGTCTACTTCCCACATGCAGCTGAAAGTTGCTTCTCAACACCTTTCCAATGCTACTCAAAAATGCTCTTCAATACCGCTGTACCTTTGTAAAGCCGGTCGTCAAACCGCTAGATATTACTCCCAAATGCAGCCCAAAGTTACTCCACAATACCGCTGAATATACCTCCCTAATGCTTCTAAACGCCGCTAGGTATAACTGTCAATGCTACTCAGAATTACTCCTCAATGCCTTTAGGCGAATCTTCCCAATCAATTCTGCCTAAAGTTGCTTCTCACTACCAATATGGGTGTACCTTTCCAATGCTGCTCACAATGCTCTTCAATAGTGCTTCCTGTATCTTCCTAATGCTGGATGTCAAAACCGCTGTATCTACCTCCCAAATGCAGCCCAAAGTTGCTCCACAATACCGCTGAACATACCTCCATTATGCTTCTAAACGCCGCTAGATATAACTGTCAATGCTGCTCAGAATTACTCCTCAATGCCGTTAGGTGAGGAATGGCGGATAAAAATTATGGGACATGAAGTCAAGAGAATCTTTAATTTTCCGAAAATCTGTTCAGAAAAAATAAATTAAATCTGTGATCAATTATTAGATACATAAGTGTCGATAAGAATATTATTTAAACACTTAGAGTATCAATCAAGAATTTCCTGTAAAAGAGATTAGTTCTCTTATTTAAACAATATCTAACACTGTTTTTGTCCTTGTGATAAAATCTTTTCTAAGTAATATACGCAACAGATATGAATTTTTCAAGAAAACGCTCTCATGATCGAAACATTTCCATCATGTTTTCCGTGGTAAAATGATATTTAATATCAATAGAAGTCCAATTGACGTTTAACCAATCATAAAGAAATTTATGAAAGCACTTGACTCAGTCTTACAAAACAACAGTGAATACGAGCACGAGACAAAGCAAACTGAAGATGTTGCTAACGATGAAACTATCGTTCCTGGAAGATTCGACGGGTATCAAGGAGAATTACTGTACAATTCGTTACATGGCTGCGGCAGATTCAAATGGTTATTAGATAACGGGTTAGAAAATATTTATGATGGTAATTTTTTTGTAAACGACTTGGAGGGATATGGGCACGTTGTATATTCATCTGGTGGAATCTTTGAAGGATTGTTTAAACGAAGCCGTCGCTTTGGACCGGGAGTTTTTACATATCCCTACGGATTTCAAGACGTGGGGTTGTGGGATGGTAATTATCTGGTAAGACTCAGTTGTCCCGTGAATTTTAAAGTAATTCCACGACTAGCTTTCTCACAAAACGCAAAATATCGATTACTGAAATTCAGAAAACTAGTAACAATCTATCCTGAACTCTCTGACAAGGCAGGAGATATTTTAACAACTTTAGGTTGCACTAGTGATCTGGCTTGTACCATTGGTACAGATCGGTTGTACAATAACTTGGTCAGGAACAGAGACAGCACATTTTTGGACAAAAATCTATTCAATAAAGTTTTCTTTGGGTGCAAGAGTAAGGTTGAGATGTTGGTGTCAACCGAAGAAGAAAAAGAAAAAAAGTTTCGTTGATGATCCGGTACAAGTCTAAAATTAATTTAAGCTCATAATCTTTCTTATAAGATGAGAGAAACTTGTGGCCAATAACTTCAGATTTATAGCTGATAAATTTTTCAGGTCTACCTTTTCCCTTTTTGTAATGTTTAGACTTGAAGTGATTGATAGAATATGTGTATTTTAGTCTTGTTGGACAAGTAAACTTACTGCCTCAATTAGCTCTCTCTTATTTCTATCTTCATTTTGTTCTAGTGATTCAATGACACAACATTCTTCTAGCTAGGAGTTAGGCTATGAAGAATCGTCCTTGACAACAGTTTATCGTTATTAATAGCTACTTCCATGCCCATTAATCTATCAATGACACGTGTCTATCACATATTAGCTCATCATACGTGATAGGCCTTGGATTCAGTTCAGCAAGTAGATATCTATTCTATATAAATGGATCTTGTTGAACATATTGAATTTCACTAAATGTAGCATTGTATTATAGATGGCGGTTAATACCGCACAGTTTGTAAGATTTCATAAACAATATTCTCAAAAGTATTGTTTTGCCCTATGCTACTTTTTATTCTTTAATATCCTCGAAGTAGGTATCGCAAAACAGACTGCATGGTGTTGTAGGACATTCGGTAGGAACAAAGTTTTTTACCCAATTCGATAAATATTAACCACAAACTTGGGCAAGGCATTTTGTAAGAGAAAAACTAACAAAAATACGCTAACAATATATCGTAATGACAATTTTAGGATTGCCGGTTAACTACTATTGGAGATATTCAACAGATGGTAGACTAATCAAGTCTATCTCTTCAGTTCTCTTTCTCATTTTCTCTGTAAGTGGTGAGTAAGGTATTTGGACCGAGTGATATTATGAGGCAGATTGTCAAAAACATAAAAAATGTTATAATTTTGTTCTTGAACTATTTCAATTGTAATACCAAATTAGATTAATATTAATTGTAGATTTGCAAATGTGTTTTA